CGGCTGCTCCTTCCCGTTAACCGATCCGCCGAAGACCCCGCCGAGGACTCCCCGCACCGACGCGAAGCCGTTCGTCCCGTAACTCCTTGACGACGTTGCCGCTCGCCTGTCCCTCTCAACATCACTGTTGCCTCCTGGCTCGTGATCCCTGCTGAGCCGCCACACAACGCCTACCAACAAGTGTCTCCGGGAGCATCAGTCGCCTCCAATGGCCACAAGTCAAACGAGCAGAGGAAGATTGATAATGACGTGATTATAGAGAGCCCAGTGGTGGAGGTGTGGTGAGAAAAAGAGGGACTTTGACCACCGTTTGATAAGGAAGACTTCATCGTGTAACAAACAGGTGGCTTTGAGGAAGAGAAGAGAAGCCACGTTCACTGTCAAATCACAATATCACTGGGTTGCTTTGTTCAACGAAGAAAAGTTTTCCAGGGAGCACCTGATTTACGCAGCATCCCTTCGACGAGCACCACCACCGCGTCGTCCTTGACGCATTATCGCCGCTCGTGACCCGCCGTTGTTCAGCGGGGAACCGCTACCACTGCGCGCTCCACCGCGCCCGTCGCCGGACGCCACCGTGAGCCGCCGCGCCGACGCCGCGTCGCCCGTCGTCCGAGTCCGATCCCGATCCGCAAACTCGATCCCGAGTCGATTTGAATTTGGGAATTATCTGCAAATTAGGTAATTCAACATTATCCGATATTTTCAGAATATTTAATTTCCTAATATGGGTGTTTGAATATTTCGTGAATATCATGTGGATATTTAGATATCTTAGGATAATGTTCGATATATCCGCAATATTTTTAAATATTCAAAATTAGGAAAACTTCCTAATTTAGCAACGTATCTGGACGACTATCCGACCTTATCCCTAAGGTTCGATACGCGGCGATACGAAAAATTATTATCCTATCCATAACCACTTGGGTACGATAATGATTTTTATCCGCTTTCTAAATTTGAATAATCGGCTTTCCGTTGATATCTATAACCCTATAGATATGACCGATAGTTTGATTTTTGTGCCTAATCCGAGTTTGAAACAAATATGGCGGATCGCGTGGACGTTTTGAATGTGGTTGCCATCCTTGTTTATTTAATTGCTTTCCTTTTTCAAATAAACAGAAAATTCAAAAAATATTAATTAGATTTGAATTAGAGTTTTTGCATGTCTAGGAATCCTAAATGTATCTAGAAGATAGAGTAGTTATTTAATTTAAATTAGGACTTGAGATGATCTATTTCCTAGTTTAAATTAAGTAATATTCTAATCTTAATAGATTATTCAGGTTATTCATTATTTCGAATTTTAACAAAAATCCTAAAAAGAAATCATGCTAGGGTAGATTAAGTCATCATAGTTTGCATGTTAATTTAGGCATTTTTATTATTCCGAATCTAAATTGAGAAAATACCAAAAATAATCATTCGTCCTGTCATTAGAAATAGGTCACGTCGTCGCACGACATATAGTTTGCATGCTAGGTTGCATTAATCGCATGTCATTTTCGCATGTCATTGCATATAGGCTAGATTTCATTTAAATAAGTGAAAATCCAAAAAAAAAGAAATTGAGTGAATTGCTTGTTAATTAGAAATCATATTAGGGTGTCAATGTGATTTTCTAGCTAACAATGCAGATGCTTACGTTGCTTCCAGGTAAGTAATTCTTCCAAACTTGCAATTTATTTAATGCTTTCTGGGTGTTAAATTGGTGGTTTGCGCACTTGCATGAACACCTCACATGTTAGTAACTAAGTTGAAATGGATCCAAACTGCCTGCCAAAACATTTTTGAAAAGAAAAGGTACCGAAAGGGCGTTAGACCAGATCTAGCGTAATCAAGTCCCCGGGCTTAGAATCTCTGGTTCGTAGGAATAAAACATATCTCCCTATGTTTTATTTAGGTTTCTAATCAACCTACCACAAATAGATTAGTGGCGACTCCAAGCATGAAAACTTTTGCATGTTAAAAATTTAAACCCTAAGTTGCGAATTGGTAGGGCTTGGGAGGGCCCGAGTTAGGCTTAGTCTTAACAATCCATTAGCCTGAGAGAAATTTTAGGTCGCGACAATGTCCAATAGCTGGCGGATGAAGCAGCATCCTCATGGCAAAACTTCTAGAGCGTCCTCATGGCAAAACTTCCGAATCTTGCTGGTCTGAGAGCAGCGATTGAGTCTAGTGATGGTGTGGCTTCTTGAAACGACACGCAAAACGTTGAGAATCGGAGGAGGAAACAACAAGCGGCCGATGTAGCTAGCTCGCAAAACAGTAACTAAGTGACGCGGCCTATATAGTTGGCGTCGTAGCATTAAGCGGCCTATATGGCTAGCTTGGGAAAATAGTTACAGAGCAATGCGGCCTATGTGGCTGGCATTGAAAGAAAAGCCATCTCCGTGAAAGGCTTCCCCGGGTAATGCGGCCATTGCAATTGGCATTGAAACACGACCATCAACTCAACTAAGCGCTTCCTCATATGAGAGAGCTCTGCAGATTATACGAAAAAAATATGTTGGCTAGGACAAATTGAATAATGTTGAAATCAACCGGAGGATATTAGGAGTTATTGAAAAAAAGAAGAAGCTAAATTAGCTCTGGATAGGCACTTGGGTGTGCACCCGTGTGAGTGCACCTGGTGCACTTTAGGATCGACTAGTTCTAATACCAAGTCGAAAATAAGAATGCGGAAGAGAGAATCGAGGAATTTTCTGTATATTTCGATATATAATAATGAAGATTACATCGGCCTATTTATAGGCTTTATGAAATAACTAAACAAGGTAACATTTCAATCAAGAAAAACACAATCAAAGAGAAATATTCACACAATCTTGAGAGATATAGAAAATCATCATAATTATCCTAAATATCTCTAAAAGCTGTTCTTACTGTTCCTTTTCAGTTTTGATATGTTCTTTTTACATTCCTGTATACCAAAGCAAGTTGGACCAAAGTTGTGATGCAGTAGGAGGGGGCTGACTCCAATTGAAATATTCTAGACCTCCTGTATGTGACGATCAAGTTGGCACGTTAACAACTTACAATACCTTTATGTGATTCTGTTGCTAGAAAAGATGAAAGAAATGGAAAATTGCTATTTTATGCGGATTGTATTTATGTGTTTTTGAGCTCTATTTTGGTGTTCATAGATATCATAATGTGATAATGATCATTGGGTTGTTTTCTGTGCTTTGACTGCAACTATACATCGTGTGCACTATGTGATTATCTGCCTGCATATTTTGACTTTTCTCTACCTCCTCAGATACCTGCGAACAAATAATCATCCCTGCAGGCTCCTATGAATACTAAAGATGATCGGATGGATAAAGCCCCAAATTTGAACAGGGAAATTCCAAAAGAGTGCATGTCCGTCAACCAAGGACTCTGATGTGATCTCACAAAAGAATCATCTGTGTTGCTAAATATGATGTGTTGCTCTCATCCACCCTCAAGATTCTACAACTGATTAGAGATTGCTTGATTGCACATCTATGTTTGTGAAATAATAATTTTTTGCAGTAACTGAATCACAGGTCATAGATATTTTATTCAGCAAAATCCTGGATATGCATGTATACATAATATTTGAATCATGGGTATATATAAACACACACATTGCAATTTGTCCATCACTTACGTGTTATCATTCTGACACATATGTATTCATTCTTGAATATGTCTCAATTGTTAAAATAACTTTTCCATTTTCCATGATCTCACGATGAGGAGTTCTTCTTGTTTTTGGCTAATCTTTGAATTTTTTGGAAACTTTGGGATACGATCTACGATGTACCTCATTGTCATCAAGATAGGTAGGCGCAGTCTGTTTCATTTGCGTAATACATTGTTTTTGTTGCATTGCTTCATCTGTCTTTTCATGTATCGTGGAGTTGGAGGACCAAAATTGTGCATGTGTATACCCATGAGTAGCACAATCCATGATATACTTTTTGTGTATGCCTATGCTTACCAGGATGCATATGCAAACACTTCTGACTGTGATTAAGATTAACTAGGAATCATAACCTAAAATATACTAGATGAAAATATCGTAATATTCATAAAAACCAAAAGATAAAATTGATAAAAAGACAGCATTTGTTTTTTATTTTATTTTAGGAAATGGATTGCAATATAAAGATTTTTGAAAAATTGGGTATTAGTATAATTATGGAATCTTGTTAATCATATTGTGAATTATGGGGCTGTTCATTGTGAATATGCTTTCGTATGAAGATAAATAAATAAGAAATTTTGGCCAAACTCTACTCTCCATAATTCTTGCTCCCATCATACATTTGTTTCAATATATATATATATATATATATATATATATATATATATATATATATATATGATCTTGATTCATGGAATTGAGCGATGTTATCGCATGATCGAGGCTCGGTAATTCCTCCATTTTCATCTTTTAAATTTTACTGACTATTAATTATTTGAAAAGTCTGTCTATAAAGCTTGATATATTTAGTTACCAAAATCTGTTCTTTTTTCTCTATTCTAAATCTAATAATGTACTTCAAACATTTAGGCTTACTAAAGCATGCAAGTTAAAAGGGCAATATCTAAATTCCAATGACAAATTGCATATTCTTTGTTACTTTATCCTTAATTCAATTTATGTCCATATTTGTGCTTTTACAACACATAATTCTGTCAATTGACAATTTTGGTATTGAATTAAATGGCAAATTTTCCTTGCCGCATTTGGCTTTGACAATGGTAGCCCTGGAACGAGTTTATATATTGGGCAATTTTTCCTAATATGATCCTTCTTGATCTTATTCTAAAGGGCCAAAAAAGGTATTATGAAAATTCTTTATGCCTAACAACTTTTTGGCAAGGAAAAAAGGAGGAGAAAAGAAGAAGAAACGCTCTTGAGTTCCCTCGCAAAATACACAGTTTTTACTGCTTCGTCGACGTTTGTTCTGGTCTTCTGCTCCTGCTCTCTGCATGACACCAAAGAGAGAGTCCTTTTCTCAAACTTCAAAATCCTACTCCTTTTCTTGAAAGGCTTTCCCTTTCTCGCGCTTTCTTGGCCCTTGTGTTGTCGGTTGATTTTCCTAGAGAAGAAAAATGAGGTGGGAGGGAGTCCTGTCGCCGCAAGCCCAGGAAACAGAGCAGGGCAGAGAAGAGGCGGGTGGCTCCAGAAAGAGGTGGGGCCACACTTGCAACGCCATCCGAGGAGGGAGGTTCCTCTACGTTTTCGGTGGCTTTGGGATAGACAACTGCCGGGCCAGCCAGGTTCTAGTCTTTAACACTGGTGGGTCTTCGAGTTTATCTTATGGAGATTCTGGTTTTCCTTCGAAGTTTCAATTTTTCTGAGAATGTCTTCAATTTAGATTGGTATGCTCTGCTTGATGCTGAGAGAAAGATTGGTTCTTTTCTCTTCTGTTTTCCTTTTTCTGTCTGATTTGGAGCTCCTGGTGTTTTTTGGTGCAACTCTGCTTGTTGGGATTTCTTTTTTTTTTGGTTGTGTTATAACTTGCTGACTCCTTTCGTTTGCTGTTGGTTTTTATTTTAATCAATGGCTTGGCTCTTGAATCGGTCATTTGTGGCTAGTTTTATCCATTGAATGTGTGGGATGGAAGAGAATTTTTCATGATGTTCTATGTCCAATGATTGTTACATATGCCATTGCTATGGCCAATATTTTCCTGTACTTATTTCATCTTGAACAATTACTGAAGCTGTTTTTGACTTTCTCCCCATTTGCATTTTGCTTGTGTTTATATTTACTGCTGGAATTTCGTGAGGGATGGCTTTTGGTGTACTTCCAACTTCAGTTGCCTTCTAGTTTTTCTGTCGTGATCTCGTGTTGCGTTGGAGCTTAGCTAGTGTGGCATGTCGAAGTTGTTGAACTATGAGAGGTGATCTAGTCTGCCATAGTCTCAATTGGTGACCTGGGGGTTTGAAGAGAGAGAGAGAGAGAGAGAGATGAATCTACCATTGCTTGTCTCCGTTTGTTGTGATTTTCCCTTTTTTTAATTGACAATTAGTTTTTTCTGACTTGCAGTGGAGCAAACATGGAGCCAACCCACGATAAAAGGCACGCCACCTGCTCCAAGGGATGGCCATAGCTGTACTAATGTTGGTGACAATTTGTTTGTGTTTGGTGGGACGGATGGGATGAACCCTCTTGGGGATTTTCATATACTAGACACTTGTAAGTTACGTTTACCATCTCCTTTCGCCCCAGGTGTAGCCGTACAGTCTTGTCGACTAATAGTCTGTGCATCTTTTCATTATACTTGCAATACCAGAAGTTGGGATCTTTTTAATGTAGTTCACGAATATGTTTTGTAGCTTCTCATACATGGATATCACCAATTACAAGGGGAGAGGCACCGAAGGCAAGGCAAGGTCATAGTGCAGCACTTGTCGGTAAAAGGTTGTTCATATTTGGTGGGTATGGAAAATCTCCTGGTAATGATGATGAAGTGTATTATAACGATCTCTTCTTATTGAACACAGGTACATTCTTTTTAAAATTCGACATTTCTTCTTTGCCTCTAGTCCCCATTGACACCTATGTGTGAAATTTCCTTGTCTGTGCATATGAGAGGTGGGTTTAAGACTTTACTTTCCATGAATGTTGTGTCCTCCAACTTATTAAAGTACTATACTTGTAGCACGTGTCATCAGTTACTACCGCTCGTCAAATGTTTATTGATTTAGATTGTAGAGTTCAGTATTATCTTCCTTGGGTAGACAAACATGCTAGTTCATGCATTTCCTTCTCATAATCTACAGAGACATTTAAATGGAAAAAGGCTATGACAACTGGTATCCCACCTTCACCACGTCTTACCCACAGCTGCTCAACTTGGAACAACAAAATGATTGTGATTGGGGGTCAAGATGGACGTGATTACTATTTGTCCGATGTCCATACTCTTGATGCAGGTTTACTGTCTACTGTAACCTTTATTGGTTAAACCGGATAGTGGTTTCTTCCTTTTTTTCTCTCCACTAGTATCCTCTTTTTACAACTCTTTTGGCGTTACTATACTTTGTTAGATACCCTGATGTGGAAGGAACTGAATACCACCGGCGACATGCTACCCCCACGTGGTGGACGTTTGACTGTTACTTTTGGGAAGATTCTGTTTGTTTATGGGGGATACACAGAGGACCAAAAGCTATATGATGACCTGTATATGCTTGATGTCGGTAAGTACCTTTTGCTTGGTATATGCTTTCTGAATGTCTGCCACAGAGATCATGCAGATATACATGCATTTGCTGAAATGTAATAATGTGAGACTCAAATTGCTAGTTCTCACATTCTTACTGGCCTGTTCTATATGAAGCCTGTGTCAGTTAATATATTTCTAGGTGATGCTTTGTTGATTGCAGTTATAAATCTCAAGTATATTTTCTTTTCTTTTGAGATTCGAGCAGTACATTGGAGTGCTAGATGAACTTCTGTTTCAAGAATAGGGCCTTTTTCCTTGTCCGGTCAATTACATATCCAATGATTAGTTAACTTCGGTTAATCATTCATGTATTTGGAAAGTAAAGTTTGAGCTGATTATCTATTGCTTGTTTTTTTATTTTTTCCTATTCCTTTGTTGCCTTGGACAAGCGAGGGAAAGCAACATAAGCATCCTTTCGTTCCTTCGACTTAATACACGTGTCCTCATGTTCTGTATCTATTTTGCTCGACTGTTACCATGATTTTGCAGAATCTGCGATATGGTCCAAGGTGACTATTGCAGGTGATGGACCTTCTCCCAGATTTTCCATGGCTGGGGCCTGTCTGGATCCAGTAAGGAGTGGGGTTCTTGCCTTTGTGGGTGGTTGCAATAAAAGTCTGGAGGCTCTTGACGATATTTGTTACTTGCACACAGGTTCAAATTATTTCTTGTGGTTATTCTTTCGGTAGTTTATGTTGGTTTTCAGGTTTCAGAACTGAAGATGTGTATGAGAGTTAATTTCTTATCATTTTTAGGACTCACAAGGGAATACGAGCGAAGGCTAGAGAAGCTAACATTGAGGAAGAAACTGAAGCTGAAGTGCCATGAACGAAATTTGACTCTAGGACATGATCAAGCTTTGGTGCAAGTTGGTGTATCCACAAGCTCATATCAACCTGTGCCGCTATCGATCTACAGTCAGCCAGGTCAGGCCCTGATATATGTTTACTGTCATGTTCTTGAATGAGGGTTTGTTGGTGGGAGAAAGAATGTCTGCGGAGTTAGAACTATTTAATTCAATTCTACATTTGTTTATGTAGACTTGAAACTATCTTTCATGATACCAATTGTCTCCAGTTCTGTAATCTTTTCCTTTGTTACTCCTGGGTCGTCAATTTCGTATTCTCCCATTATTCCTTCCTGCAGATGATTATGAGATCATATCAATGTTTTGGCTGTGATCTTATCAACATACTCTCATGCCCTTAAGCTTCTGCAGTCTTTTCTCGTGGATATAAATTTTGCGAATTTCATCCAAGTTTTGAGCCTCATTTTATAGCAATATTGTGTATCTTTTGCATACTATCTGCGAGATCGCTATTTGCTTTATATTCACATTTTTCTTAGTAGTGGCTTTTGACGCTGAGATATTAGTTGCCATATAGTGAGTGGTAGCATTAGTTACGCGAATGGTACTATTATATATTATGTAGTTGTTAATTCAAGGATTGATATTTAGCATAATAGGTGAGATGGCGATGGAGATCATATTAACAGATGCTAATTACCACTTATTCTTTTGTGTCACAACTTCCTAAATTTTACAAAATGGCTCTGTTCTATTGTAGATTCTCCGGTAAAATAGCCACAGGGATGAAGTGAATATTCTTTTCTTCTCTGTCATTGCGTCTGCCAAACCAAGCTCTTAGCTCTTCTTGCAAAGTCTCTGCATTTACTGACCGAATCCCCTCAACCGACCTTACCAAATTCCAAAGCATCCTTGACCATCCAAAGTACAAAGATAATGTTTCTAATCAATTCAATATATTGGACTTTTCCTGCAATTCCCTTTCACTAATGTTTCTAATCAATTCAACCCCCCAACTGATCTTGCCATTTACACAACTCACCCAAGATTGAACAATCGATTCTGTGTTGCTTGTAATTCGGAATAAGCTACGAAACTGAGTTTTCAAAGGGGTTGATGAGCTCCAATCATAATGCCAAAATAGAATTGAACCCCCACAAAGGAGTGAATAGAATATTTTTAATGGGAGAATCCTAGCATTGCATTCTTCTTTCCAGACTCCCACCCCATGTAGACCCCTCCCACACTTTGAGATCCATCCTCTCTCCTTTGTGCGTATTTTGCTCTAATTACTTGTCTGAGTTGTCTTCAGATGTGTTCCTGCCTTTCAATGTCTCCGAAGCCATTTGCAGACACAGCATTGTTAGAGACCAAGATCATACCCTTAAACCTCCTCTAAATATTAACAAATCGACCAGACCTGATCTCACCATGTGATATTTGCTTCTTTCATCTGTACTGCCCCACAAGAACTTCCTCTGAAAATCATCCGATCTTGCCACCACTGATGCTGGGACCAGAAAGAGAGAAATAAAGTGAACTGGCAAACTTGAGTGCTCTTGATTAGTGTGGTCTTTCCTCCTTGGAAAGATAAGGTTTTTCCACCCCATGAACCCTTTTCAGACTTCTCAATGATGGGATTCCACATCAATTTGTCTTTTAACTTTTCCCCTAGTGGTAGTTATAAAATTAGAAGTAGAACTAGTAGATTTCCATGTGCCTAGGCCTAATATGGTGATATTGCGAATTTGCTGGACATATTCGACACAACTTCACCGAAACTATTGGAAGGGGAGAGTCCTAACTGATTTCATTGCTTTATCAACACTACTTCAATTTACTCCTTTCAACTCTATGAAATAAAATGTAGACCCCAAGGATAAGTGTTATGGCCATAGACACCATCTTCGTTAACTTTAACAACGAATCCATCCACCTAGCTCCAAAATATCCAGACCATGGGCATGTAGATATAAATAAATTTGCTGAATGAGGTTATAGACTACTGAAAAGATTATTCGACCAAAGGAATACCTGGAAATAGGTCATTGCTCGGTTGTGGAAACAAATGCTTTGCTAGGATAATTGACAGCATGCCCTTTCGCAACTATCCTCGTCTGCTAAGGATCTAATTCGTGACTCAAACCTGTGATTAATTTACATGTTTAAGTAATGCTCACCCATAGGGTACCACGATCTGGGTACCGTCTACGTATCTGCTACGTATCTGCTTTTCTTGGTCAAATCTACATATTCATTTTAAGTAAATGGATTCGATCATATTTTAGGTTTCTTTCCATGTAAATCTTTATTTTATAACCGACAAAATCACCATATTCAATGCAAAATCAGGAAATTTTCTTCAAAATCGTTTAAGGAGATTCCGTGTGGCCATAGATTTTGTCATGTAATTAAAATGTCCATGAAGCAGTAGCCAAGTGCCCGATTTACATGTTTTCCCTGGCCATTATATATAGATATAGATCTCTCACTGGAATTTTCACATATCTAGAAATCATAGGCTTATGGTCGTGATACAATTATTTGCTAATGGTGTACGATCGCCAAAACTCTTGTCACTTTTTCTTGGAATATAGTTTTACCTTGGAGAGTTCTGATTGCTTGGATGAATAACTAGAGCACCTGCATCAGAGTCCACAGACTGCTAGCTTCCCTCAACAACTTCTTCAGAACGTACCACGAACTGATTTGCAAATTAACCGACCTTTGTCCAAGAATTTTGTCATGTAATTAAGCCAAGTTCCTGTTTAACTGTGTTTGCTTGCTATTATCAATAGAAATAGATATAGATTTCTCACTGGAGTTTTCACTTATCGGGATACTGTCTTTTTGAATTGCTTGTATGTGCCAATTCATAAGTAGCTTTGGACCTTTAATACAGGTGCTCATGGCTATATATCCAAGCAATCACAACCAATCCAAGGTAAAACTATATTCCAAGCAAGAGTGATGGAAAATTTTGGTGATCAATACACCATTGAGACTGTCGTAGATGGGAAACCTCTACATGGAATTATATTTTCCAGTAAGCCTAGCACTCTTCCTATACCATCTTCAAGCTCTAGCAGGTGAGTCTTTTGTTTTCCCCATCTAGCCAATCGGGTTTACTTAACAAATGTTGGTTTATTCTGATTCTCTATTTCTTGTAGCAGGAAAAGAACTTACGGAGATTCAGGTACTGTTATGCCACATGGAGATTATAGTAGGGGTTCAAAGGCTTCTAGAAGCATCCAGCTAGACTCAGTTGATGAGGGGCAAGCTGATGAAGTGCATGGACAAGAAGCCTCAGAGCCCCATGCAGAATCTGCTGGTCCACTTCTTGTGTCAAACGTAACACAACCTTCTGATGGCTGTGATCTGGACAAGGTCAGTCAACCTTGCAGTTCCAACGTTCTGTTGAACTTACATCACAAATATATTTTTAATAGGCTGGAAATTTTCGCAAAAGATTCAAAGAATCTGAGTCGTTTCACTTTGTTTGTTTTGGGAGCTTTTAAACGTTTATGCAATGATTGCTCTGATCTTTCTTAGGTTTTTTAGGAGTTCTTAGTGTTCCTTTTTGAGTTTTGATCTGTTCTTTTTACATTCCTGATGTAATTGACCAGTTAACTAGGAATTCTCTTTATCACTTATGAGAAAAAGGAAGGAAAGGGAAAGAGAATTCCATGTTCAATAGAAAGCAAAATTTCAGATGAGGAATCAATTTATATCCTCTTCACCGTGTAATAATGCTTGTATTTTACACGTCATATATCTATGCGGAGGTTGACATGATTGGAGTCATGTTCTTCAGATTACTTTAGATCATCATTTGATGGACCCCAACTTGCCTAGCTGGAGAAGCATTGGTATCTTGCTGTGGTGTTTTGACTTTAATTTTGGGTTTTGAGTCTTGGCAGTAGCTAATTTACATCTATTTAATTTAGGATATGTTATATGTATGTAACTTGATTATTTCAACTAATTCAAATTAAAATAGAATATGTAGTTCTACCTCACTTCCATTACATCAATGTGGATAGCCTCGGGAAAAAAGGAATATGTGAAAGTATGTTAAAATCTCACATTTGAAGGATAATGTTCACATTCTTACCGAAAAGTACAAGCAAAGAAGCATTCCCTATCGTCTCTACTTAAAGTTTGGTTATTGAATAGATTTTGATGCCAATAGCAAGTTGGACCAAAATTCAGATGCGGTAGCAGGGGGCTGACCCCCAATTGAAATATTCTAGACCTCCTGTATGCGATAGTCAAGTTGGCACACGTTAATAAATACATTGGCTTTATGTGATTCCGTTGTTGGAAGAGACGAACTCAGAAATGCGACGGAAAGAAAATGATCTACCAAACATGATTTGCTATTTTATGCAAAATGTATGTATGTGTTTTTGTGCTCTTTTTGGGTGTTCATAGTCATCATAATGTGATTTTTTTTGGTCGAAATCATAATGTGATTTTGATCATGTGATTATTTTCTGTGATCTGAAGGCAAATATGCATCGTGTGCATTATGGAATTATCTGCCTGCATATTTTGATTTTTCGTCTTCCTCCTCAGGTACCTGCAAACCAAGACTCATCACTGCAGGCTTCTATTGATTCCAAAAGATAATCGGATGGATAAAGCTCCAAATCTGAATGTGGGATTTCCTAAAGAGAGTGTATCTCCATCGACCAAGGACTCTGACATGATCTTACAAAATGAACTTGAGCATAAGCATTATCAGTGTTGCTGATAATGATATGTTGCTCTTATCCAACTTCATATTTTTACTGTTGATCAGAGCATGTTTTGATTGCACACCTATGCTTGTGAAATAATAGTCTCTTGCAATAATTGATTCACAGGTCATAGAAATGTTTTTCAGCAAAAATCTCTGTACGAGTCGATACGTACTATCTGAACATTGGCCATGACATTGTGAATAATAGATCTTACATATATTGTATTGTCTACATCACTTATACGAATCACACTAGCACACATGTATTCATTCTTGAATATGTTGCGCTTGTTCATATAACTTTTGCATATGCCAAGAGCTGGTGGTAAGGAGTTCCTCTTGTTTTTGGCTAATCTCTGCAGTTTGTGAAAACTTTGGGGGACGAACAATGAATTACCTCGATGTCATCCACATAACAGCAATAGTCTGTTTCAGTTGCTTAATATCCTCCTGTTGTTGCATGGCTTCTCTCTAAGAGTATCTTCTTTTTACCACTTTTGGAGGAGCAGTAGACCATTCTTCAAGGGCAGGGAGGCAGTCATGCTCTACCTCTTGAAAAAAGGTGAGTTAGATTTGGCTATGGAGCATTTGGCTGCAGTTATTGCTAGAGCAGAAGATGAAGAGGGCCATCCTGGCACGGTTATTATGGATGCATTCCTAAAGCACTTCGATGAAACTAAAGACACCGACTCCCCCAAAATGTTGTATGAGCTTTTGAAGAATTAGGTGTGTTGAGAAAACCTCCAAGGATATTTTGATATTGACAAAACCATCCCCTATAATATATGGTTTGATAGATACGAATGTTGTTTATGTTCAGGTGGCATTAATTGATAACTCGATACCATTGAAACCATCCTAAGTACTAAACTCAAAAGACTGGAAGGACCTTGAGGGTGAACAAGTCAAAGCTAACAGGAAGTTCGTGAAGACTTGGAGGAACCAATACGTGAACAGGTCTGTGGAAGCCTCATTCACATATGTGCTGAGGAAAATCGATGAAGTGTAATGAACACGTAAATTGCCAGCTGGATGACTGGGCAGAATCGCAGAAGGCCGATAGAAGTTACTGGGTATATCAAATTGAGAAGGTCGTCCTTGGTCACGTGACATGATATTTGAAGACCCAGATACTCCTTTGACCGATATTACGTACGTAAAGAAAATCGACAGCTAATCACAGGTCTGGAATTACTGATTTACTTACTCTGAGGTTAATCCAATCAATTTTCCATTATCCGGAGGACAAGGTTTATTTCCTAATGTGGTGATTCTATTCGCAGAAGCAACACGTTTGCTGGGAGATTTGATTGTATGGAAACCGGATCTCTGGTGCTAAATTGATTTTCTTGAAGACCACTCAATGGTCGACTTAGAGATTGACAACTATAAAATTATCAACGCAAGCTCAAGTGAATACACACAAGCTATGGAAATTTCGAGAGCAGTATACATTTTGTACTCGACAAAATTACTTGTTGAGAGTGGCATAATGGTTTGTAATCTCTGTTGAGGAAAGTACGAGTGTTATGGCAGTGATTAAGATTGTTGGTGTGATCTACCAGCTTCGGGTAGAAGCAAAAGCAGAGGATTACTAATGGAATCCTAGCGTTGTTTTTCCATACTTTGAGATCCATCCTCTCTGCTTTGTGCGTATTTTGCGGTAATGACTTGTCTGAGTTGTCTCCAGATGCGGTTCTCTTGCTATTTAAATGTCTCCAAAGCCATAGTTACAACAGGACCAAGATCATACTCTTAAACCACCTCTAAATATAAATAAATTGACCAGATCCGATATCACCCGGTGATATTTGCGTCTTTCATCTGTACTGTCCCACAAGAACTTCCTCTGAATATCCTCTCATCCTTTCACCACAGACGCTGGGATAGGAAAGAGAGAAAGAAAGTAAACTAGCAAGCTCAAGTGCTCTTGATAAGTGTGGTTTTTCCTTCCTTGGAAAGATAAGGCTTTGCCACCCCACGAGCCTCTTTTCTAACTTCTCAACGATGGGATTGCACATCAGTTTGAACTTTTTCCCTAGTGTTAGTTTCCAAATTGGAGTTAGAACTAGTAGAGTTACCATGTGCTTAGGCATAGAATAGTGATATTGTGAATTTGCTGGACATATTAGGCACAACTTCGCCGAAACTATATCGGAAGGGAGAGTCGTAACTGATTTCATTGCTTTATCAACACTACTTCAATCTAATTGTTTCAGCTCTACCAAACAATATGTAGACCCCATGGATAAGCATTAAGTCCATAAACACCATCTTAGTAAACTTTAACCATGAATTCATTTATCTAGCTCCAAAATGTCCAGATTTGGGCATGTACATATATATTCATTTGTTGAATCAGGTAATAGGCTACTGAAAAGATTATTTGACCAATAGAATATCTAAAAATAGGTCATTGCTCTGTAACAGAAACAAATGCTCATACCCGTTTGCAACTATGCTCCGCTTGCTAACGATCTTATTGGTAACATCTGATTCAAAATATAAGAGAGAGAGAGAGAGAGAGTTTCTGAGGGGATCGACAAAATGCCCTTCTTGTGAGCACTAAGCACCTGTTTTTAAGGTTCAAGAAGGTTGGATGTATTACTTGTTTGGAAGAAACAATAAAGGAGAATTTGTCAATTTTTAGTTTTTTTAATCTTTTTTAAGTATTTAAACGTGCTATTTGTCATCGATCGTAGGAACCTCAATATTCGGTCATTTTTTGAAACAAAGTACGTGTCATTGTGTTTTTAAACTAGTTTGCTATCCTAGTTATAAGCGTAACAGATGTTGCTAACGTGTGGGCATAAATTGTGGCTGTAAATATGAAATTTTGAATATGGAAATAGAGTTAGGATTTTTGAAAGCATAGTCACTAGCTTGTGCAGATAATTCTACCATATGTTAGGATTTTACTAATATGTTAGGTTTCTTTAGATATGAAGTTTTACCTAAATCTTGGTTCACTATGAGTCATGGTATGGTAAAGAGGATGACGTATATCACCTGTGAAGAAAACCGTATTTAAGGACAAGGGTTAGTTGATCTGCGATTTGGGTAGTAGTACGTTTTAAAGAAGTAGTTGGGGGAAGGTAACAGCCTTTTGTAATTACATTACAAATGCCTTGTACCATGTTCATGTAATATCTCTTAATTGAATGAGTATGTGGTGGGGTTGATTAGATTCCCAATTCCGGCGACCTGGAGCATAAGAGTACTTCAATCAAAAAGATCATACCTAGTACCACGGTCCATGTATGCTGCCATATCTCTAGTTTCTAGAGAGGCTATTTTCGTGACTCGAATTTGTGACCATAGGCCATAGTGGAGTAACTGTTACCACTGCATTAAGGCTCACCCTTAGGGTACCACAATCTAGGTGACGTGTACGTATTTGCTACATATTTACTTTTTTGGTCAAATCTATGTGTTTACTTTAAATAAGTGGATTCGATCTCACTGAAGGTTTCTTTCCATGTAAATCTTTATTTCATAGACTGGCAAAATCACCCTATCCAACACCAAATCACCATATTCAATACAAATCAGGAAATTTTCTTCAAAATTGTCTGGAGAGATTTCCATGCAATCGTAGAATTTATCAAGTAATTAAAATGTCCAAGAAGCAGAAGCTAAGTGCCTGTTTTACAATTTTTCCCTTGCTATTATACATAGATATAGATTTCTCATTGGAGTTAGCACTTATCTAGAGATTGTGGGATTATGGCCGTGATATAATTATTTGCAGTGTATGATCGCCAAAACTCTCTATCACTCTTGATTCAAATATCGGTTTGCCTTTGGAGAGTTTTTGTTGCTTAGTTGAATAACTGGGAGCACCTGCGTCAGTATCCACAGACCATTAATTTCCCCCAACAACTTCTTCAAAACGTACCACAAACTGAATTGCAAATCAACTGATTGTCCGAGTATTTTGTCAAGTGATTAAAATGTCCACGAACTAGAAGCCAAGTGCTAGTTTTACATCGCTTGGTATTATTATTAGATATAGATATAAATCTCTCACTGGAGTTTCCAGTTATCTAGAAATTATAGTATTATGGTCGTGATATTGTTTTTTTGAATTGCTTGTATGTGCCAAACCATAAGTAGCTATAGACCTTTAATGTAGGTTCTCAAAGTTATCCATATAGGCAATCAGTGCCTGTCCAAGGTAACCCAATATTCGAAGTGAGACTAACAGAAAATTTGCTGATAGATACCCCGTTGAAACCGTCATAGATGGAAAACCTCTCCGTGGAGTTGTATTTTCCAGTATGCCCAGCACTCTTCCTATACCTTTTTCAAGCTCCGGCACGTGAGTCTTTTGTTTTTCCCATTTAGCTGATTGATTTTAACTTAATAAATGTTGATTTAGTTGACTCTCTATTCTTGTAGCAGGAAAGAACTTGTGGAAATTCAAGTGCCGGAATGCCAAATGGTGATTATGACCGTGAGTCAAAGGCTTCGAGAAGTATCCAGTCAAGCAACTGAGTCCGTGCATGGAGAAGAAGCCTCTTCCCAAGAGCCCCGTAAAGAATCTGCTGGTCAAGTTCCTATTTCGGTCTGACCAAAAAAAAAAAGTTCCTATTTCGGATGTATTACAACCATTTGATGGCTCTGACCTGGACAACCTTAGTCAACCTTGCAGTTCCAACGTTCTCTCAAACTTTTATCACAAATCTAACTTTTGAGAGGCTGGAAATTCGTGAAAACGATTGTTGAAGAAACTGAGTCGTCTTACTTAGTTATTTTAGGAGCTTTTGAACGTTTATGCAATGATTGCTCTAATTTGAGGAGTTCTTATTGTTCCTTTTTAGTTTTGATCTGTTCTTTTTACATTCCTGATGTACTTGAGCAGTTAACTTCTAAGAATTCTCTTTATCGCTTATGAAGAAAAAAAAAAGAAAAGGAAAAGAGAACTCCAAGTTCAATATAAAGCAAAATTCCTGATGTGGAATGAATTTATGTCATCTCCACCATGTAATGAGTGCTTGTATGATGTTTTCGCTGGACATACCTACGCGGAGGTTGACATGATTGGAGTCATGTTATTGAGATTATTTTAGATCATCATCTATGGACCCCAACTAGCCCGGCTAGAGAAGCATAGGTATCTTGCTGTGGGGGTTTTGACTTTAATTTTGGCTTTTGAGTCTTGGATGTGGCTAATTGACAACTATTGTCACGCCCCAGACCCCACCGAGCTCGCGACATCCCTCCGTGGTCATATTGAAA